ATAATAAATACAGGGCAGCTGCTCTTTACATAAATATAGGGTGTAATGATAACAATGATGCTGTACTACTATAAGTATTGAGACAGGAAATAATGTACTAAAAAAGAAAAAGAACCCTTTCATAACCTTGCTATTGCTTACTGTTCACATGTGTTAAACCTTGTGTTTACTAAACAGCAAGTGCTAATGTGCATGAATGTGATCACCCCAAAGCTATGTATCACTGAAAACTCGATTACTAGGGCCTTGGAGGGCAAACTACCAGCCTTCATTTTCACTTTAATGGTATAATGTTATTAAATTGGAGGTTTAATGCTAGCTCAAGAAAATCAAAAAGCTAAAGAACTTATGCACTGTTCAACAGTGGCTCTATTTTTTTGTCTGATGCTAGTTTCTTTTCATAAACAGTTTTCTTGTACAAGGTATAACCATGGGTTTGAAGTCCAACATTTTTTTTGGCTGTTATGTACTAACTGGTGACTTAGTCAAGATTAGAAATTAAAATATTAATAGATACGTGTAAAAGTGTCTGATTAAGATAAATTTGCACGTATATTTATGTCCATAATCTGTATGTTGCACTAACCATTTTTTTTTTTTTTAGAATTTTCAAATACTTGTAACAGTGGCTGGTTAATGTTACTGAATGTCTATTATAATTAGATTAGGTTTTTCCCAGAGTAACTATTTTATACTTACATTTTTAAATTTATTTCTATCATGTATTTGAACAAGATTCATAAAGTTACAGTGGTTAGTCTTATGACTGAAGATCTCTCAGACAGGATCACAGCTGTTTTTTTTTTTTTTTTTTTTTGAAATATTGCATTTATTGTTTTTTATTATTTTTAAGCATTTAAAGGTATGTTGGACATGTCTGCTCTGTAGAAGAAAAGTAAATTTTAAAGGTCAGATTACTTAAATAATATATTGTGCTTAAATATACAGTTTTAAGCATTGTTAACTATTATGTTAAATGCTATCAGGCAGATATAACATGAACATTCCCATGAATTTCTTACCTCATGTTTATTCCACCCAGTAACCATATTGCCATGGAAACCAGAACAACAAATATATATTTTGCGTTTTACTACAGTCTCAGCAACACCTCTTGTTTGGATATAGAAAGTTCAAGGCTGAGAAATGTATTTCGTGGTTCTCTGTGTCAAAGGCAGCTTTCAGTGATTGCATAGAGAAATCCAGAGTGGAGTTGTACTGTACATATTATTTTGTCAGGTTTTATGTATGTATATTTTAACCTGCATGATTGTATGAGCTGGCAAAATGGAATAATTAAGCAAAGTGACTGTGTGTAAAATGCACAATGTTTTAAATGTGCACCCAAGATATTTAAGTTTTATTGTACAGTGGAAATGTTTGAAATGGTTAAAATTTAGACAGGTTTTCTCTTTAAGAGGAATTTTGTAAAAAGTGTACATTTTTTACATATTGTTTTAGTGACTTTCTGCTGTCAAAAATGACACTGAAGCTGTTAATGTATTAATTAGATGTTTGGCATGTATACTGCCTCATTAAATGAGAAAAAGTATTTGGCTCTTCACTGATCGTATGTGGTATCTTGCCAAGGCTTCCCATGCATAACTGCATATGTTGTAGTTGTCAGTTTGTTTATATTGATTTTTAAGCATATTAGTGATATTGTTGTCAAGATGCATATAATCTTTTTAAATGTCAATTAAGTATCAAATCTCCCCAACTTTCTGGAAAAAAAAGTGAAAAAGCTGTCACATTTAGCATAGAGTTTGACTCTACATATCTGATTCCCAAAGTCAAATGAGAGTTGTTTCTTTATAATGGAACATTTCATGGTGCACATAATCTTATGCCTTCCATTATTTGTCTCTTATTTACTAGGAGTATATTTGTATTGGTTAAGGATAAGGGAAATCAAAATGTAATCATTATTCCACAGCCTGCTTTCATTTTCAACACGCAGCTCTAAAATCTGAGAGAAAACCCATATATTTTATGAATATTATTCATTAAGGAGAATCAGCTTCTTTGCTTGTAGAAATACAATAACAGGCACATTGCTGCAATTTCAGAAAGATGAATAACTATTTTTTTTTTAAATGGTCATTTTCTAAAGAAAATAGATTAAAGGTTACTTTAGAATGATACATCATTTAACTTTCACAGTGAAAGTAACTTAATCTTTCGTTACCATTTCTCTTATAAATAACACCCAAGAACTAGAGCTAGACCAGAAATTACATCAGTACTTGTTATATTGGTCATGCAGCGCAGATCTATTTACTGTGAGTAACCCAAGGTTGCCAATAGATATATGGTGTATTTGTCATTGGCAATGAAATAACAGTTGAGAGAAATAGAAATTATATTGACATATGCTTAAAAGATGTGTAAATGCATGAAATTGGAACCCCCACACAAAACCTATTCATAATGTGCATGGTGTTTCCTCGTTCTGAAAATGTGCTGCTTGGCAACCCTTTCTGTACAATAAACAGTCTGTTTATACCTTGCTCACAGTGATTTTTGTCAAATTAATCAGTTGGGTGCTTTAATAAATGATTACACAGAGCAGGAAACCTAGCATAAAGGTGGCAGGATGTTTGATTAAATACTATCTTAATTGCACAGTGAAATGTTAAACTTCAGAGTTGTCCACAATGGAACACTCTTCCGGATTGGCAGATGTCAGAATTCCCAGAGCACTCGGGAGCAAAAAAGAGTGTTCAGCAGAACAAGATCAAGTACTCTGGAGCAGAAGTATATTATAAATATACAATCAAGCAAAACCCCAATTTCTGATACTGCATATTACGTTCTTTTTCAATTCTTTTAGCTTGTTATGGGACATTTCAATGTTGCTTTTGTACAAAGCAATTGTAAAATTTTCTTTTTTAAAATGTGAAGAAGATAAACATAATTGGTTCAAGTTTTCTTGATACAGTATGAAATCTTTTGGGTTGCTGCTTGTGTCTACAACATCAGATATCACGAATATAAGACCTTGCTGGTTGTACTGCTGTCTTTAAATTTACAAAATAATTTCAACTGTAATTTCTCTTTGACTGAAATTATACTGTGTATGTGTGCTCTGTTTGAAACACACTGGATTTTAATTTTATTGCATTAAACAAATTTATGGTAATGTGTAGTGGCAAATCTCAACTTACATGAAATACTGTGTCACTGTTTATCTGCTTATTATGAACAATAAATCACTTGTACAAGCGATGTGTAAGAAGTTTATTTTATTTTCTGATTCTCTTAGAAAGTATGAATTAACACAATCTGACATATCACTCAAAATTGTTTAAAGTATATAAATGTGTAACAAATTATCCTTTTCCGAACTGATTGCACAACTGCTTTCTCAAAAGCTGATTTATGCTTTCTTTGATCCTTATGCTTAAAACAGCTATACTCTAAAGGCCTGTTCAGAACCAGTTGATCTGCGAACTAACTAGTCTGACCCACTTGAAAACATGCCGAGATTTAACTGCTCTGCCCTCCAGGGACTGCACATGGGAGGTGGGAACCCATTGTCAAGTGGGCACCATATCTGATCTATGTACTACTTAGTCTGCAGATCAAACTGGTTCTGAACAGGTCCTAAAAATGCAGTAGCTGTAGATATTATTGATGATACAGAACTAAATAAAATTACAGCAAGTCCTCATTTTTGTCAATTCAACACCACTAAAACAGCTGATAGAATCTCGTAAAACATTGCCATGATAATAAGTTTTGAATCATACAAATTGATTGTAAAATGGTGCAGGTATGCAGTTTTATCTTATTAATTAAAATGTGCAACAGAAGTATCAAACCTCTATTAAATGGTTTGTACCATAGCCTCATTTAAAAATCCTTTCATATCAAAAACTTCATGAACACTACTTTTATCACAATCATTTTTTTCTTGGCAGCACAATTTTAATATGAACAATGCAATTAGAACATAGACTGTGTTGACATGCTGCAACTGAATGTTCATATCTCTGTCCAGCAATGCTATGCTGATACCATTGGTGCAACTCCCAGCTCTTTGGCCAAATCTTCCTATAATACAATAAAATAAATATGTCTCAAATCATAATAATCATGAACGATTTATAAATAATTAAATAATTTCCTCTCCTTAACTCAAAATATCTAAAACACTTCAATATGAAGACATACTGATAACTATGAATAATACATAAACTGGAAATAATACACTGTAAGTTTAAATATTAACCTGTGGTCCATCATCACTTCACAAAGGATGCATATATTATTATTAGCAGGTGACGCAAAGACCTTGTCTTCTAAATATTGTGTATACAAACTAAAGCAATTGCTAATGGAATTACTTTAACAAAGGTTAAGAATTTAAAAAGAGAGGTAAAATCATATTGTGATACAGATTGTTAAAAACCAGCCTGTATGCCTACCAGATAAGCAATTTGGTTTGGATGGTATCTTATCCCACCTTCCCTATCACATTGTGACATGCGTTTTCTCTCAGGGTCCCCAGCAACAAGGACTTCACTCTCACCTTCTGCCTGGAGAGCAATAATAAAAATATGTGAGAGACTGCAAAGAAATGTTGGCAGCCAATAAAACCTTGTTAATTTTTAAAAATAAGATGGTTTCCACAGCAAATAATGAATAACTTCATAGTTACACATGAAAAATTGCATTTAAACATAAGCTTACTGTTGTTTCTCATCAATGAAACAATGTCTAACAATGTCCTGGCTTGGAATTTTCATTACTCGGCAAGGGGGGGGGGGGATACTAAATTGGAAAACTGAGAAGACTTGGATTGAACTATTGATTGTTTATATCCCTTACAAACATCTTCCTAGTTAGACATGCAAATATACTTCTTTGCAGGTATAATTTTTTCTTACTGGTTCTAGATTTCTACAAGTATCCATCAATTCCTGCATCCTGTCAGTAAAGCCACTTGCAAAGTTCTCTGGGTTTATTGCTATAAAACACTGCCCCTAAAAAAGGAAAGAAACTACACAAAGTAAGCAAACAAATACAATGACACCGCCTTTCTTTTTTCCTAAAACACCCTTTAACACAAAATATAAAGAAGCTCAAAACTTCTGATTATGATGTCTTTCATTGCTACAGTGAATCTAGTTATCCAACAATTTTCTATTAATGCCTCCTTGAATGCAGTCCCCATTTCTGTATGGACTGGTGTAACTATAAAATGCTAATCTAAACGCAACACATAATGAACTTACCAGATTGGCAACTCTGTCAGTTTTCATCCATTTGCGAATATTTGGACCCCACTCTGCACCACTGAGAATTCCACAGAATATTTCCACCAACATGGCCAGCCCATACCCCTTATAGCCACCTAAAATATAGGAGTATCTTAATTTACCCCTTTTTGTCGTGTGTGGGGTACAGGTAACAATGCAACAAACAAATGAAAGCTATGTGGTTCAAGTAAACGCATTACAATAGCTCATACTGATACTTCTTACCACACTCTTCTGATCCTCCCAATGGCATCAGTCCACCTCCTTCCAAAACCTCATCTGGATTGGTGGTTTCCTACCAAAATGCGTAATATACCCCATGTTTTCATTTGAATCTACACTTGCATTCTTAAATGCATCCTGACAATTTAATTTCTCAGAATTCCAATTGATCTATTATACAAATGCACATCATCCAAAGTTTAATACTATAATGTTAAAATACAGAACTTGATTATACTTTATATCATCTTGTTCAGAAAATGTATAAAATGAGGAAAAAATGTTGCAAAACAAAAAAATCAAAAACAAAAATCTGTCTATAATTTGTATATTTGCTTTTACCTTTCCTGCCTGGTCTACACCCCAACCTTTTGGCATGTTTGTTCCTTTTCTTTGACAGATTTCGACCTGTAGTCAACAAACACAGTATAAGAATTTTTTCTATACATTGTGATTTGAATATTCTTATACAATTATAGTAATAAACAAATGTTAAATTATAAGATGATTATGAAAAATCATCTTGCAAAATATCAGAGTATTTCAAACATTATTTTTGCATCTTACAAACTATTACTTTAGATCACAAAAATTGACAATTCACTAACCATTACTTTAGATCACAAAATTTAATTGATTGTTATTCCTGGAAGGATATTCACCCCAAAGTAAAAACTTTTTTTTCTTTTATATTGTGTTGTTCACACTTGCATGCTACAGTTTCACTTTCATGCTAGGACATATATGAATCAGTCACCTTTATTGCTGTTTCCACATGATTTTAGTTTTACTTATGTTTTTACACTTCAATTAAATATTGGACCAACCAACTGATATTCCACATGTATAACCTTTAATAAAAATATATATTGGATTTGTTGTACAGAATTTATCTGTATATTATAACAATTAGTCATCAGATGTGTGGAACATTGGTAATGGCATGCAGTAGTTACTGGGTAGGCAGGCCCGAATTTACCTTTCCATAGGCCACAGTGGTGGTAGCCATGTCTAATACAAAACTATCCCCTTCTTTTCCTGGGGCAGCCAAAGTCAGAGCATTTGTGCCCAAATGGGCCTATTTAAAATATAATCATTTGATTCATAAAGAGATTATTCAAATCATGCCCATTTCTAATTTTGCTTATATAAGCAATCCGGCATTCTGATGAAAGAAATCTTTCTATTCTTGATATTATACATGTATATCAGTGTACATGCATATATTTTTTCTGATGGTAGGGTGATAAAAGGGTGGGGGTGGAGGGGGGGGGGGGGCAAAGCAACAGAGCATGCATGTAACTCTACCACATTTTTCTGAAACACGAAAAAAAAAATCAAGCAAATGAATCAAAACACATAAACTAAACAAATCATATCACAGCACACCAACCAAAGTCCTCTATAAAGGCTCCTCTGTCACAGCAATCAATTTCTCTCACCTTCCCAACTGCAGCAGTGGAAGTTGCCATATCAAGCACAAAACTGTCTCCATTCTTGCCCGGAGCAGCAAGAGTTATGGGGTTAGTTCCTAAAGTTGGCTATTGTAAATTAAAGGAGAAAGTAAAAAGAAGGTCATTATCAAATTTATGATTCTAACATATTTATTACATACTCTTTAAAACTGTATAAACAAAAAGATTTCCATTTAATTTTTGGAAAATAAAATCACAACCAGACATACCATGTATGTTGTAAAGGAAATATGGTATTGTGGTAATGGCTGGATCTTTTCCATGGGCAAAAATTATCAAATTTTCAGATACATCATTTTAAAATCATAAAAATTCTATTTTGTAACATTTATGGTGCTTTTGCTTTTAATGCATAGAATAGAACTATAAGGTAGTCTGCTTTTCAATTTTGTTGTTACCACTCAATAGAATTGCTCTTATTTTAAGAAATTAAGACTTAAAAAATACAGCATCTGTAAATTTCACAATTTTCCCCATTGAAAAGATCGAGTCATTACCTTATTCCAAGGAAATGAGAATTTCTTCATCTCACTATCATCAAAACATGAAAATAATGCATCACAATAAATTCGTTAATATATTAAAATAGGAAATGATTATGACAATCATGTTTAATACTCACTTACTATATAATTACTGCCAATTTATGACACCTTGTTCATCATCTACATAAATATTCTGCTGTAAAAGCCACTGACTACAATTTACATTGGAAAACGTGTCTTCTTTTGTTTTATAAAATTATGTTGAAATCTTGACAGATCTGTTAGTTACCATAATGATGACATGTTATATTATTAAGTTAAACGGCTGAATAACATAGATGAAGGTTAAACAGTTAAACAAAAATTACTGCAATGATTTTAAAACAAGGCACCGAAGCTGTCAAATGTACAGACAAAAAGAAAATAATTAAATAAAAAATAGGATAATTTGTCAACTTTGTTGCAATATTATTTTAATACATATTTTTTTAAAAATTAGTGTTGATTTTTCTGTTAAGCATTACAATGCTTATTCAAGTTTAATAGTAACTATGGGTGTATCTTTGCCAGTTTTTCAGATATGAATATAGTAGTATCTGTTTCAGTTGTAGAGATATAGGGGCTAGTAAATGTGTGAAGTGCATTTCATGTAGAAAAGTAGGTCAAAGGTAAAATTCCAGGTGAGATTAATATGCCCAATATATGATTTCCTATTCAAGTTGAATAGTAACTACGGGTCTATCTCTGTTATTTTTGGAGCTATACAGGCTGGAAAATTCAAAAACTGCATTTCATGGTGAAAAGTAGGTCAAAGGTCAAATACAAGATCACATGCCTATATATGGGTTGCTGTATTCAAGTTTAATCTAAATAGTAACTATGGGTGTATCTTTGCCAGTTTTTCAGATATATGGCTGGAAAATTAGCAACGATCAGTTCAGGGTGAAAAATAGGTTAAAGGTCAAATTCAAGGTCGCATTAAGATTGCCAATGTGT